TGAAAAAATTTCGAAAATTAGCGATTTTTAAATTTGTAATTTTTTTGGATATTTCCCCCATTTGCGGGGAACGAGGGAATTTTTTTCAATTTTTAAGGGTAATGTCTTCAACTAGATACGATTTGTGATCTTTTGACGTATTTTTGAAAGAAATCGGTCCAGTGAGAGCTGAGAAAAAGTGGCAACAGACATAAAAAAAAAACACATCATAGTAAAATTAATACCTTCTCCGCTTCGCATCGAAGCTAAAAATGTATAATAGTGACGCATCAAATCCTTACATTCTTGTTGTACATTTTCCATCAAATCTTCTTCCTTGATGTGTTGTATCAGATTTTTAGAAGAATTTTGTGCGATATCTAAAAATATAATAACAATTGTTTAATCCATTTAAAATAATTTTATTAAAGTGAAGTAATAATAGTGACTCATCAAAACCTTACATTCTTGTTGTACATTTTCCATCAAATCTTCTTCCTTGATGTGTTGTATCAGATTTTTAGAAGAATTTTGTGCGATATCTAAAAATATAATAACAATTGTTTAATCCATTTAAAATAATTTTATTAAAGTGAAGTAATAATAGTGACTCATCAAAACCTTACATTCTTGTTGTACATTTTCCATCAAATCTTCTTCCTTGATGTGTTGTATCAGATTTTTAGAAGAATTTTGTGCGATATCTAAAAATATAATAACAATTGTTTAATCCATTTAAAATAATTTTATTAAAGTGAAGTAATAATAGTGACTCATCAAAACCTTACATTCTTGTTGTACATTTTCCATCAAATCTTCTTCCTTGATGTGTTGTATCAGATTTTTAGAAGAATTTTGTGCGATATCTAAAAATATAATAACAATTGTTTAATCCATTTAAAATAATTTTATTAAAGTGAAGTAATAATAGTGACTCATCAAAACCTTACATTCTTGTTGTACATTTTCCATCAAATCTTCTTCCTTGATGTGTTGTATCAGATTTTTAGAAGAATTTTGTGCGATATCTAAAAATATAATAACAATTGTTTAATCCATTTAAAATTAATTTTATTAAAGTAAAGTAATAATAGTGACTCATCAAAACCTTACATTCTTGTTGTACATTTTCCATCAAATCTTCTTCATTGGTGTATTGTATCAAATAAGTAGAAGAATTTTTTGCGATATCTAAATATGTTAACAATTAAACAATATCAAAAAAATTTTATGTTGCTAAAAAGTTATACCTTGCTTGTTATTCGTTGGAGATAGGGCAGGTAAAAATGTTTCACATGTGTTCGAATCAAATTTAAATCCAAGTGTAACATACTTATTCCAGATTATCCTTTGGAATAAATTTCTCATTTTATCACTTAGAAAAATGATAAGTTCTTCGTCTTTTCTTTGACTGTTTAATGTTATAAATTCATTTATCCAAGAATTCCACAAAGAACTCAAATCTATTTGTTTTATTTTACATAATGATAAATCTTTTTTGAGTTCTAAATCGCTATTTTGTAAAATATTCGTGATAGTTAATAACGCAGTTTTAATCGACTCCTTATTGTTTTCCAAAGAAATCAATTTCTTTAACGATTCATTTTTCTGTAAATTTGTAAGAACTTCACTTAAAGGAAACCGAGTTTTTTTTAGGGTGTTCAAAGGGTTTTTGTGATATTTTTCTATAGCATATAATGCTCCTTTCATATATTTTGTTAACGTTACAAATTCAATCATTTTTTCTAAAATTTTGACTATACAGTTGTGTGCACTAATTTTACCGGAATTAAGTAGCATGAAACAATATTCTTGATAATTGTAAAATATATAGAATATTGTATGTAAATCATTACCAAAAGAACATCCAAGGAATTTTGTAGCATTACGTATAATATTGTCACAGTTATTTAATGTTACAGGTTTATTAATCACATCGTTCAATGTATACACATTGCGCCTGTAAACAATATATTCGACATCATTTATATTTTTCCATCCGGGTTGATGTAGTAACTTCGTTATTATATCGACGTGTGCTCTTTTATTAGGTGTTCCTTCAGTATTCAAAAGAGTGATAAATATACAAAAGTACACTTGAATATTTAGTATTATTGAGATTTTCATTTTCAAAAAGTTTATGAATCGATTTTTTAATACAAAAAAAATTATTTTCATACAATTTTTATTTCAATATTAATAAATTCTCTTTTTTCATACCAAAATAAAGAAACTAGCAATAATTTCAACTGCGTACACTTGTGTAGATGAACAAAATTAATTTATTTGCGTTTAGTAGTAGGAGTAGGGTTATTATGTTTTAGTACTATGTGCTATAAATTAAAAAAAATTTTCTAGCTACCCTCAAAATAATTTATACATCCATATTTTTATCTAATAATAGATTATTACCTGCATAAGATTAGAAATAAATTGTAGCAAAGATCATAATTTGAATAATAATACAATGTAATAAATCTAATTTTAGACGAAAAAATTAATTTTATTAAGAAATACTTTTTAACAGTTGTTATTAAGACATTCTAACTTGTATCAATTTTTTATTAATAGCCTTAAAACATAATTATGAACAAATAGAATAAAAATAATTTATAGCTAAATTAAACAAGAAAGTTTAAAAATAGAATGCATTCTAATATTTGATATTATTATTGTCTTGATCAACCTCTTGCCTGATTTTTTTTTCACGGTCAACTTATTGTTGGCTGCCCTGGAAATACTGTGAGGCATTATTTCATGTCGGCCAACGTTGCAATATAATTCATACCACCATGTTGTGAATCAACCCGAAATTAATTATGATCTAATTCCCAACATGATGTGGTCACCCCGTTATCCGGCTCCCAGGGTGAGAACTATTTCATAGGGTTGGAAAAATAACTCACAAACATAAAAAAAAACATAAAGCCCAAGGCTCCAGCCTAAACCGGTATTGCGAGCGCCGGCCATTGAGTGAGCAGTGAGCCCGTCTCAAATGCGTTGCCGTCTATTCTTGGAACGACACGCTAGCTCACTCGCTCGCCACAAAATGTCGCACGGGGCACGTTGCACAGGACTCGGTTGCCGTCGCCGCATTTATATATATGATGTACCGGTGGTCGATAAGGTTTTGCCTGTATGGGAGAACCGACCAACCGGTCACATACAGGTGCAGCGACGGGGAAACCAGTGTAACGTCCACCACTGAGCTCTAGTCGTGACCCTCGAACGTCGGGGTGGAGCTCCTGTTGGCCGAGACCAGCATGAGAGATAGTATCAAGTTCAACAGGTCTTATCCACGCTGATTGGTGCCAGCCGTTCCCCACGCCAGGTAGTGGGCGTTAATATTCGTGACCATGAGTTCCCTGTGGCCGTTACGCGGCGCCAGGACCTCTTCGGTTTGTGGCAGGAGGAAACGGACTCGAGGAGTCCGGCGATTGGTAAGCTGGGCGGCGCGTAGCAGCTCAAGACGTCGATGTTGTCAATCCTTGCTACCACGTAACCATCGCCCGACTCGATGTCCGCGACTGTGAGGCCAACCCAAACCCAACCAAACCATCACCTGAACAGACAGCGGTGCGGGGAATACACCCCCATCACGACCGCCAGATGCTCCGCCTGCTCCCTGGCAAGGTTCAACCCTGCCGATAGCACTCTTCGCACTCTTTGGTGTCCCGTCAGGGTTGTAAAAATCAACCGTCTAAAGAGCCACCAGCTTTGGTTTCTTAGTCAGTACCAGCGCAGGTGTCGTCGGCATAGGCACAGCCACGCTGGTTGGGGTGTCCTCAAAGGTGATAACGGGGATGTCGAGTGTTGGGTAAAATTTTCCTACCCAAACTCATCTACCACCGCATCGCCTATTACCACATGTACCTTACTCGAGGGTACCGTCTTAGGTGAACCACCCCTAGACGTGCTCAGTAGCCTCTCCACAATGGAGGACTTCGCTAGCGCATCTGGAGAGGTGGCCGCATTCAGATCGAATCCAAAATTCACTTTATCCGATACCAATGGCCTCCCGGTTATTTCACCGGTGGAAGTGGCTTAGTCACCATCACTTCCTGCAGTTGCAGTACCAACCCCATAGTTGGCTGCAAGAGCCTGTCTCAACAGTTTTACATTTGACGTGTATTCAATTGATCCAAACGACACCTGGTAAGTGCAGCCCCCCCAACCACCGGAACTGTGAAATCCGAGTCCCCTGATGCAGTTACCGTTAAAATTTTCTTGTCCATCGTCATTAAGATGATATTGTGAGGGGGCTGATGGTGAATTCCTCCGACCTCTTGCTTGTCATCAATTTAAAATAAGAATATTTTTGAATAATATTCAATTTTATTTCTTCAAGACGATTTGAGATGGATGTTTTGTGTGTATTAAAAATACTACAACAGGATCTACCAAATAATGAAAAATAATTATCTAAATACATATTATTATGGTACACAAACAAATTTTAAATTAAATTTTTATCACATCTCAGACATACTTACAAAAACCTCCAGTAAAAATTTAAAATATTTTATTCATAAACTCCGATTTTAGGAGTATAATATTCATAGTTTTTTTAAAGAAACTGCAAAGTTTATTAATGTTAACAACGAGTGAACTTTTTTTTTTCAAATATTTCATCAATAATAAAAGGATGACTTAACATTTTTAGCTTCGATGCGAAGCTGAGAAGGTATTGGTTTTACTATGATGTGTTTTTTTTTTT